GGGGCCAAGGGCACAATGGGCCACGGCCCGGGAGCACGCACCATGGGCCATCTTGGCCACGAGGAGGTTGTTCCCGGCCGCGCTGATGAGGGCCGGCTTGAGGGGCTCCCCCAGGAAGATGCTGCCCTGGGTCCCGCCGCCGGCCGGGCCACCGCCAAGCAGCCGGATGTCCTCGTCGAAGGAAAGCAGCAGGAAGCCCGGAAGCGCGAGGTCTTGCCAGGGCAGGGGGGGGGGGGGTGGCGTTAGTGGGGCATTTGGCCGGCGCCCGGAGCCCCGGCTGGGGGCATGCCTTTTTTCCGTACCCATGGCCGTGTTGACGATGGTCAGGTCGCCGTCGGCCCACTCCTTCGGGGCGTGACGCCGGCGGCGCAGGGCGCAGAAGAGAACCAGCAGGATGAGCAGCAGGATGATGAACAGCATCGAAAGGCCGATGATCAGGCCGAAGGCCAGGGATTTGTTGCGCGAGGGCCCGCACGATCCATCCGCCTGGCAGGCGGACACCTGGCAGTCGGCCTCCCCGGGCCCGGTGCAGGTGTGGCAATCCCGGGCACAGGCCGCGCACATGGCCTGCCGCTGGCCGGCCGGCAACTCGGCGAAGAAGCCCCCCGGGCAGCCAGCCAAGCACACCCTCTGGCCGGGCTGCGTGTGGTGCATCACCCGGCCGGCCCGGCACGCGGTGCAGGCATCGTCCCGGGAGCACTGCTCGCAGTCGCGGCCGCATGGGCGACACACCCGGCGCGCGGGGTCCGACTCGTCCAGCCAGAACCCGACCGGTGGGCAGCTGGACACGCAGGACCCCTCCAGCAGGATGGCCCCGGGGCCGGAGCAGGAGAGGCACTCTTCCTGGCCGGGGCCGCGACACGTCCGGCAGGAGCCATCGCAGGCCGCACACCGGCGGTCGGCCGCCAGGGCGAAGTGCCCGGCCGGGCAGTCCGAAACACAGGTGCCAGCCCCGTGGAGCAGCCGGCCCTCGGGGCAGGAGGAGCAGGCCTCCGGATGGTCTGGCGCATGGCAAGACTCGCAGGAGGCATGGCAATCCGCGCAGAGGACCATCCCCGCCTGGGCCCCGACGCCCGGGATTTCGACCTCATTCAGGGCACAGCGGTCCACGCACCGGCCGGTGCTTGCGCGCAGCCGCTGGGCCGGGTCGCGGCAGGCCGTGCAGGTGTCCACGCTGCCGGCGCAGCTGGAGCACGGCCCGGCGCATGGGGTGCACGTTTTGGCCTGCTCATCGGCCAGGAAGCGCCCCGGGCAGGCGGAGTAGCACACACCGGCCGCATAGTCGGCATACTGCCCCACCTTGCAGAGGGTGCAGAGCCCGGTGCCCGGGGCGCACTCGGCGCAGCCGACGCCGCAGGAGTTGCACTGGGTCCCATCCGCCGTGGCATAGTGTCCGACCGGGCAACTGTCGACACAGGTCAGGTTGAAGAGGAGCTTCCCGGCGTGGCATGAGAGGCAGTCGCCGGCCGTGGCCCCGGAGCACGAGGCGCACTCCTGGTGGCAGGCCCGGCACTCGCCCTGCAGGACGTCGCCGTACTGCCCCCCCGGGCAGGAGGTCACACACCGGTGTCCCAGGCCGCCGTCGGCCGCAAAGCGGAAGGACCCCCGCGGGCAGGCCGTGCAGTCAGCCTCATCGGG